TGCATCTCATCTGGTCCCATAGACTTACGTACATTCAGGTTCCTTGTGTGGTCATGACCCTAATCTTTAATTACAGTGGGAGGGACTTTGCTGCTCCAGTCCCCATCCTGATGTACATCCACTCCAGAGGTGTGGGAAAAGAGTTTACTACTTAAGACTTAGGCAAAAAAGGTTGTTAATTACCTCAAGTTTCTCTCTGGTAGGGCTGTCTATTACCTTGCTCAATAGCTTACATGCAAACACAACGTCCAAGCCTACAACTTATCTAGTCCCTTTACTGTCACCCATAAAGTATTAAATAGTATCATTGCCAAATTCATGACATCTGCAGTCCAATCTTGAATCCGTATTACTTATTCAGTTTCAAGTACTACAGCCATTGCCTGAAATTTCAAAGCCAAGTAGCCCTTTCCAGCAAAGATAAACTGGGAAACACAATTAATTCATATTTCTAAGGGAAACTACATCTGAAAACTTTTCTGTGAAATCTATTTCACAATTCAGTCATGCCAAGACAGCTCTTGTCTGCCAAACTTTTGGATGGGTGTTCTGAAGGAAGACATTTGAGCCATCATATATGACAATATAAAAGAAGCTGCACAGATAAAAAGGACTTGAACACTTTTTTTTAAACATATTTACAATAAAAGTTAGTTATCTTTCTAATTACATGAGCTGACAATGCCCTAACAAGGATCATTTTGGAATGCAGCAGTTCTGTATATTGATGCAAGATAAGACTCTTCCCATAGCCATTCTCACAAAGATAGTGCAGGAAAGGCAATGTGGAAACAGCTACACAGTTCACACATTGCCTGGCACACCACTTGCAATAGGTGCCACTTTAGATTGCTCAGGGACGAAAATATTCACAAGGATGCTGAATATGAAGTATGTTTACATACTTCTCATGTGTATATACTGTGTTAATTCTTTGTACTTGGCTCTGAAAGTGACTTGGCTGTATAATACTTCCCTGAGCAGAACTGTAAATCCAGTGCTTTCTGGTTCTGCATGTCTCTTGTCACTAACTCACTATG